AGACAAGTGCTCGGGCCTGGTGCACTGGGAAGACCCAGAGGGAGCGGGTGGAGGGGGAGGTGGGAGGGGGGGATCGGAATGGGGAATACATGTAAATCCATGGCTAATTCAAGTCAATGTATGACAAAAACCACTACAATATTGTAAGGTAATTAGCCTCCAACTAATAAAAATAAATGAAAAAAAAATAAATTAAAAAAAAAAGAACTGTAATATGACCTAGCAATCTCACTGCTGGGCAGACACCTTGAGGAAACCAGAAGCGAAAGAGACACATGTACCCCAATGTTTATTGCAGCACTATTTACAATAACTAGGACATGGAAGCAACTTAGATATTCATTGACAGATGAATGGATAAGGAAGTCATGGTACATATATACAGTGAAATATTACTCAGCTATAAAAAAGAACACATTTGAGTCAGTTCTAATGAGGTTGATGAAACTAGCCTGTTATACAGAGTGAAGCAAGTCAGAAAGAGAAATACAAATACTGTATATTAATACATATATGTGGAGTTTATAATAATGGTACCAACGACCCAATGTGCAGAGCAGCAAAGCAGATACAGATTTAAAGAACAGACTCTTGATCTCCGTGGGAGAAGGTGAGGGTGGAATAATTTGAGAGAATAGCATTGAAACATGTATTTTACCATATGTAAAAGGGATGACCAAAGACGTTCAATGCATGAGGCAGGGTACCCAAAGCCAGAGCTCTGCAAATACTCAGATGGATAGGTTGGGGAGGGTATTGGGAGGGGGTTCAGAATGGGGGGACACACATACACCCATGGCCGACTCATGTTGATGTATGTCAAAAACCATCACAATATTGTAGCTTTCCTCCAATTAAAATAAATTAATTAATTAAAAAAATATTGTAAATCCCCTAAACGCTCATGTATAGTTGATTGTTTGAATGAACTATGCCACATCCACACAATGTATCTTTAAAAAATAATAAATATATCAGTATTCATAGGGAAAGATTTCTAGGATATATTTTTGGCTGAAAAAAAAGCACATTGTAAATGTGTATACATTACACCAATAATTTTACTTAAAAGTGAGATAAATATGAAAATATACAGTATTGTTGATCTTCTTAGTATATAAATTACAGAGAAGATAAAACAGAAATAAATAAGACTTACCTACAAGGGAGCAAAATACTGGTACAGGGAGGGAATGATTTTTATCTGAGTATACTTTATTTTCTACGATTTTACTTTGAAAAATCTGTGTTAATATCTACATATTTAGAAGTTTATATTAAATAAGCAATGATGGGAGATTAAAAATGTGGCAGAAACAGGTGTACATATCCATATTTCAAAAGAATAGCATAACCACACTAAAAGTAATACTTTCCTGGTAACTCAGATGGTAAAGAATCTGCCTGCAATGTAGGAGACCCAGGTTCGATCCCTGGGTCGGGAAGGTCACCTGGAGAAGGAAATGGTAACCCACTCCAGGATTCTTGCCTGGAGAATCCCATGAACAAAGGAGCCTGGTGGGCTATGGTACATGGGGTTGCAAAGAGTCAGACACAACTGAGTCACTGAAAGTAATAAGAAATACTAATCTAAATAATTTTTGAACACAGTACTTTGACTACTTAGACTCAGATTAAATGTAAAAAGATTTGCAAGCAATTGCTATACTTAAAATGTTAGTTCTTTACAGTGGAGTAGATAAACATTTCTGTAAGCATTTATGAGTATTGCAAAATTGAGCTACTTAATATTTATTTTAACAATGGTGGGGGTCAGATTTCTCATGGTTGGAAAGGGAAATAAATATAACAAACTGAAAAAGGTAGGAAGAACTTATTTTTGTAGGAAGAACTCCATGACTTGTGGGGTATTAATTCCCCAGCTAGGTATCAAATCAGGCCCTCAGCAGTGAAAATGCAGAGTCCATACCACTGGATTGCTAGGAAATTGATATTAAATTGAAACTAGATGTAACAGTGTGAACTCATATATTTTAACATATAGATATTGAACAGAATGTATTCAGCTTTGGTGCTATTGACATTTGGAGCTAGATAATTATATCAGCGGCAGTCCTGTACTTTGTGGGATGTTTAATAGCATCTCTGACTGCTACCCACTAGATATCAGTAGCACTCCTCCACCAGTTATGACAATTAGAAACCAGAAATATCTCTAGACATTGTCAACGTTCCCTAGGTAGCCAATTTTTCCCCCAGATAGGCCACTAATATAAAGGCATGAAAACAAACAAATAAGCATTTGTATATATATTTACATGTACATATTTCATGTATAAATTTATATATACTATATACATGTATAGTATATAAATATAATTTTTATGATAAAAATAGTACAAACCAGGAAAAATATTTGAGACACCAAAGTTTCCTTTTACCCACTTTCCACTTACTATACTGCCAATCCCAGATCACCTACATTTTCTTCCTAGGAATTAAATCATCAAAGTAAATTTTTTATAAAGAAAAACCCACCCTTCATTTCCATCTTGCTTATAGTAGTAATCCCCAAAGCTACTGCAATATTTGAAATGAGACAGGAAGCCAGCTTCCCCGTGTGGCTCAACATTCCATACATGGCGATGACTATTATAAATGGAAAGAAGGTAAGATAAAAGAGGAAACCTCCAATAGAAACAGCCAGTGCAGCTGAAATGTAAGATGGAAAACATAGTCAGTACATAACATACAAAATCTTGAAGTAGAAATTCCCCTATTTTACTACAAAAGAGCTCTAAAATGTAAACTCTAGAAAAGAAACTGTCTGCCTTGTTCACCATTGTGTTACCAGTGTTGTTCACTACTGTATCATCAGCATTTAAGCAGCGTTTAACAGAAAGTAGTTGTTTAATAAATACTTTGCTTGCTTGAATGAATGGATGAGTAGCATGAGGAAGGAACTTTTCTGGAATTTGCCCTTTCTTATACAATAATGTGGATATTTACTTCTTTAAAGAAGAATTGATCCTTATGTTTATAAAATCCTGCCTTTTTATTTTTTATTTATGGCCACTTAGCTTAATAACCTCTAGAAGTATAGCATCCCTCATCACATCATAAGAATATACCTACCTGATTACCATTTATTTTGGAACTTTTGAAACTGAAAAGCTTTAATCACTTTCTAAATACTCTCAGTCTTATATTTCAAAAATTTATTTATTATATTTTATAAAAATACATTAAAAAGACTGATAACAAAGTCATCAAAGAGAGTCATCTGGGTTAGTGATTTGTATGATGAAAAGTTTGAAAGCTAGTTGCTCAGTCGTGTCTGACTCTACGATCCCATGGACTCCAGTCTGCCCGGCTCCTCTCTCCATGGAATTCCCCAGGCAAGAGTACTGGAATGACTTGCCATTTCCTTCTCCAGGGGATCTTTCCGACTCAGGGGTATGCTTGTTTTAGGCAAGTAAGTCATTCATTGATATTTGCCTACTTTATGTTACTCTTTGGCATGTCACCTTCAAGCAACACACATCAGTATTCCTACCTGGGAAATCCCATGGACAGAGACTCCTGGCAGGCTACAGAGCATGGGGTGGCAAGAGTCAGACAGAACTTAGTGACTGAACCACTGCCACTATCTTCAGGCTTACTTTGACATAATTCTCTCCACCCATAGCTTTCCTGTGCTTTGTGGTAGAGGGTAGTTATTTTGCTCTATTTTGTAAGAACAAGCCAATAGCAGTGTTGCTGCTGAAAACAATAAAAATACAAATTTCTCTACCATAATACATTTGCTTCATGGTACTTGTGCCCTACATGGTTGAAAGAAGGCAATATTTTAATTGTAGCATGTAAAATAGATATAACAGCCAAAAAATGGTGAAGGTTTGTTTTCTGAAAAACAAAATTTACCTTTTTAAAAAATAAATAATAGAAAATGACCACAGGAGGAGCAATTCTACAAATTCCCTAACTAGGCCAGTTTGAATTTATTCAGTCACACATCCCTCTTGTAAGTGAGAACAGGGCATAAAATTCTCATTTGTTTTTGGTATATTTGATAATGTTCTAGGTATGTGATAAGTGATCCAAAGACTTCACTGAGTGAGTGAATGAATAAATAAATGTTTTCACATGACCCTATTTTAGTTTATATCCTCTTGTCACATGTGATCTTATGTTGATTTTTATTCTCTTTTCCCATGCATCCTATTAATATATTAATTGTCACTAATTTTTGCCCCTCCTCTCAAATCATTTCATGTTTATATGACATGTATGTTTTTAGACAAATTTAGAATGCAAGCAGAGGCTCTATATGAAGTGGCAACTAAAACTTAAAAGAAACTACCATATAAAATCCTCTTTTAGTCAACTGAAACAGTTAAAATGTTTCACGGAAGGAGTCTTGTACTCACTTTTATTGAAGAATGTGCTAATCAGAAAGCCGAAGGTTATGGTGGCCGTGACAAAACACAGGAGAAAGACAAAGATGAGGGATGGGTCGCTGTTTTTGAGGACAACTATAGGTACAATCTACAATACAATTGTGAAGCCAGTTTAGTCACACTCGAAGTGGTGTCACAGGAAAACAAGGAGGTGAAATAAAACAGCCTTAAAACATTTCCATACCCCCAAGTGAAATGGCAAAATTTAACTAAATAGCTCATTTCCCACAGAAGGGATCAATGGTTTGTGTCTGCTGATAGACTGAGCAGCTTCTGAATTCCCCAGAGGGTCAATGATAAACACATCTATTATTTTGCAACCTAAAACCCATACAGCTCCCACCCACAATTATTTTATCCCTCTCAAAGTGTAGCTGCAGAGTGATGCATTCAAACAGATACTTGCCTTGGCACATAAAACCACGCACAGTATACAGACGATAATTGAAAACATCAGAAGGAACGTGACAAAATAAGATGCCCAGAGCATACCATTACTGAGCCCTATCATGAACTGGTACTCCTGTGGGAGAGTCAACACAGAACAAATACCGTGAAAGTGATACTTTCAAAACACACTCACAAATATTATCTGACTTAATCCCCACAAAAACTTACATACGTTAAATATCATCATTGCCATTCTGCAAAGAAACCAAGTCTCAGAATAGTCAAATGACCCAATCAGAATCATGTAACCTAGTGAATGACAATGCTGTGATTTCCAAACCGGAATTTTGAGTATCTTACCTTATGGTTCTAATCTAAGAAACAGTTAATTGGAAATTTAAAACATAAAATCTAGGATCACTTTTCTTGTTATGATGTTCTGCCTCAGGAAACATTGGAAGAAAGTAAATAACTTTTAATATTATTATAGATAAGAGCAGGGAAAACTACAGCCCATGGGCCAAATCCAGTCTGCCTCATATTTTTGTATATAAAGTTTTGTTGACACATAGCCATGCTCATTTATTTCCGTATTGTCTGTGGCTGCTTTCATCCTATAACAGTAGAGTTGATAGTTGTGAAATGGTCTGCAGAACCTAAAATATTATACTGTCTTATACAGGACAAGTTTGCAAATCTCTAATTTAAACCAAACCTCTCCAGTTTTACAGATCAGAAAACCAGACCCAGAGAGGGTAAGTTGCTTTTACACATTTAAAAAGCAGTAAACTCGCTGTTCTGGGCTCCTCCTGTTCTATCATGCTGCTTTTCCTTATTTCAGAGCTACTTTTCCCTGGACGAGCACAGACTGGAGACAGATCCCTTGTGTTTTAATCCTGACTTGCCACTTGGCAATAAGAAGACCTCAAGCCAGCTCCTCTACCTCTCTCTGCCTCAGCATCCTCATTTATGAATACTAAGATTTGAATAAAACTATGAGCAAGAAAGAGTTCACAGTTTTAGTAATGAGCTTCATAAACTATAATTCATCAGAAGTCAATGGATACAGACATTTGATTTTTCAAGTTTTAGCAAAGGCAGATCAAAATTTAGTTACAAGATGATCATTTTAATTTAAACGGCTATTTAACAAAGCACAATTAGTGGTACTAGTTTCTAGAGGTGATTAAAAATAGATGTTTCCTACTATATTTGATTGCTTTCCAATGTCCTTGCAATGAATTAAGGTACATTTTATTATGCAAAGGAACCATATAAGGAAATAAAGTATTAATTAAGAGATGGGAAAAGTTTAAAATAACAGATTTACTAAGAATTGGTAACAAAATAGTCTTTTGAAGCAAGTTTTAACAAAATATCAAAATGAGAAAGTTGACAGTGAAGTAATTTACATGACACCAAAAACTCACAGGTAGCCAAACTTTAATGTGGAGATGTGTAGTGTCCACATGCACACACTGAGAGGAAGAAAAAGAAGGAGAAAAATACACTAAATCTTAAAAGATTTTGCATCTGGGTGATTAACCAAGGGATTTATGACAGAGAGTGATGTTTTATATGTCCATTTTGTTTTTTTATTAAATATGCACTGTAATAGCCATGATATTTTAAAAGTAAAATAATTTGGAATTCAGTGCCTGTATTTTCAACCAGTAAGGAATTGAAACTGACTAAAATAGCAGCTGGGCTTCCCAGGTGATTCAGTGGTAAAGAATCTGCCTGCCAGTGCAGGAGATGTGGGTTTGATCCCTGGGTCGGGAAGATCCCCTGGAGAAGGAAATGGCAACCCAATCCAGTATTCTTGCCTGGGAAATCCCATGGACAGAGGAGACTGGTGGACTATAGTCTATGGGGTCGCAAAAGAGTCAAACACAACTTAGTGACTAAAAAACAACAAAGTGGCATCTAAGGCAACAACTAGCCAAGACCCTTAGATAGGAGGACACTGTCTCTACTGTTCCCTCATACAAGACATCTAATACAAAACAAAAAATTCAGAGAAATGCAATGCTTCCCCTTCTGACCTAGATGGGGCAAATGGGACCAGATTTACCCTCCAGCTAGAAACAATGAGAGAGAGAGAGAAAGAGAGAGAGAGAGAGAGAGAGAGAGAGAGAGAGAGAGAATGGAATAATATAGCCATAGAAAAGAAGGAACTCTTGTATTTACAACATGAATGGACTTTAAGGGTGTTATGCCTAGGGAAATGAGTCAGATAGAGAAAGTTAAACACTGTGTGATATCACTTGCATGTGAAATCTAAGAAAAATCTTATATTAAATATCAAGAACAGATTGGTGTTTGCCAGAGGTTTGTGGTGGGGGATGGGTGAAGGTGGTTTATAGTTACAAATTTCCAGTTACAAGATAAACATGTCTTGGGAATTAATGCATAGCACAATGATAACAGTTAACAATACAGTATTGTATATTGAAAGCTGCTAAGAAAGCAATCTCAAAAAGTTCTCACCACACACATTAATTTTATTAATATGTGGTGAGGGATATTACCTAAATTTATTGCAGTAATCATTTCACAAGGCATGCATATATTAAATCATTATGTTGTATACTAAAACAAATATAAATGTTACATTACATTTCAATTAAAAATAAAAATGATTGATGTAAAGTGACAGTTAATTTTTAAGACATCTTGATTTCCAAGACCTGGCAATAAAGGACAGCAATTCCTTAAAGGAGAGAAGTATTGAGATAAGCCCTACACTCACCCAGCTAGCTGCTAACTAGTTGCCCTGCTGATTGGAGTGAGAACCCAGCAATGTCCCTGACAGGAGAAGACAGGGCTGGGAATCCAGGGAGGATACAGTGGCTGAAGTTTGCACAGCCAAATAACAGGGTTAACCAGAAACAGATTTCCAGATATCTTTGGAAGGTGCTCTTATAGACTTTTTAGTATTCACAAGCATATATGTGTGAGGAATGTCCCAAGGTCATGAACCATTTTAAGGATTAGAGAGAAAAATATCTAGAGCTCACATTTGCCTAGAAATATTTGTTTTCCCCAAAGAATAAAACCACATAATTTACTTACAGATAATCTGTAAGATAAATAACGTACAGATAGTCTAATGATTTTGTGTTAACATTGAGCCAGATTTAGCTGTAGACCTGCATTTCTTAACTTCAGTACTACTAAAAACATATTCAGTGCAAAATATTGTCCTAAGTGCCTCATATACATTGGGATTTCTCACTTAGTGGTATTTCTATTTTGGAGTAACTCCTCAGTGTACGTTATAGAATGTTTAACAGCATCCTTGGCCTCAGCTTATTAGGTGCCAGTAGCAACAGTTCTCAGTGTATTAATGTCTTTAGACATTACCAGATGTCCTCTGGGAGAAAACTTGCCCCCAGAAAACTTGCTTGCTGTCCTGGAATAAATGCCCGTCTGGTTCTACCTATTAGAAATTTAAAAGCAAAACCCCAAAGAACAATATTATCTCCAGATTACTTAACTCAGTCTCAAAATAAAATTGAGGGATATAGAATACAGAAAAATCCAAGTCTCAACAAAGTAATATTTACAATGTCTGACCTCCAATTAAAACCTTACCAGGTATGACATACAGTTTCAGAGTTGGGCCTATTGTCTCTACCCTTTGTTGTTCACAATTCTATGTGAACTCCCCTTGTATGAATGGGTCATGCAACTTGTTTTAACCAACAGAATGTGGCAAGAGTGATTAAATGTCACTTATGTGATCATGTTACATAGGATTATGGCACTTGTCCCACTCTGAGGCTCTCTCCCTTGCTAAATTTGATGATGCTGTTGGCCACTTTAGAAGGACCTAAAGTTATTGAGGCAAATTATTGAGGGTAGTATCTGGCCAACAACCAAAAAGAAACTAAAATATTCAGTCCTACAACCATAAGGAATTAAATTCTACCAACAACTACATAAGCTTAAAAGTGATTCTTCTCCTAGTTGAGGTTCAGTGAGTTTACATGAGTGTGTGCTCAGTTGTGTCCAACTCTTTGCAACCCCGTGGACTGTATAGCTCACCAGGCTCCTCTGTCCATGGAATTTTCCAGGCAAGAATACTGGAGTGGGTTGCCATTTCCTTCTCCAGGGAATCTTCCCAACCCAGTATTGAACTCACATCTCTTGCATCTTCTGCATTGGCAGGCAGATTCCTTACCACTGTGCCACTTGGAAAGCCCCAATGAGTCTATATCCTTGGGTAATACCTTGATTGCAATCTTGCAGAAAACCCAGCTAAGGCTTCCTTGACTTCAGCACACAAAAGGTGTGAAATAAAAAATGTGTGCTGTTAGAAACTATTAACTTGTGTAATACTGTTAAACAGCAATAAAAACATTAAAATCTATAAATCTACACTAAAAAGTTTAAACTCTAACCTACAGATACAAAAAGTTCCAGGAAATCCAAGCACAGGAAACATGAAAAAAACAGACCAAAGCATACCATAGTCAAATTCCTGAAAACTGAGGGGAAAAAAGAAGAAATCTTAAAAAGGAGATTAAAAAATGATACATTATGTACAGATGGGCAGAAACACCCATCTTATTTGAAGCAACAAGACAATAGGTCAGGTATTAAAGTACTCAAGCAAAAACATTACCTTAGAATTCTTAACACAATTTAAGTACCTTTCAAAAATGATAGCAAAATAAAGACCTTGCCAAACATACAAAAACTGAAATAATAAATCAACAGAGGAATAGCATTACCAAAAACAAAAAAGGAAATCCATCAGGCAGAAGGAATATGTAAGAAGATATAGGATGAATCTGGACCTGCTCAAGGGAAAAACAAGACAAGAAATGAGAATGACATATTTGTTGTTCAGTAGCTAAGTTGTGTCCAACTCTTTGTGACCCCATGAACTGCAGCACAACAGGTTTCCCTCTCCTTCACTGTTTCCTGGAGTTTGCTCAAACTCATGTCCATTGAGTCAGTGATGCCAACCAACCATCTCATCCTCTGTTGCTCCTGGCTCCTCCTGCGCTCAATCTTGCCCACTATCAGGGTATTTTCAAATGAGTTTTCTCTTTGCATCAGGAGGCCAAACTATTGGAGCTTCAGCTTCAGTATCAGTCCTTCCAATGAATATTCAGGGTTGATTTCCTTTAGGAACAGCTGGTTTGATCTACTTATAGTCCAAGAGTCTTCTCCAACATCACAGTTCGAAAGCATCAGTTCTTCAGTGCTCAGCCATGTTTATGGTCCAACTCTCACATTTGTACACGACTACTGGAAAAACCATAGCTTAGACTATACAGCCCTTTGTTGGCAAAGTGATGTCTCTGCATTGCAATATACTATCTAGGTTTGTTATAGCTTTCCTTGTAAGGAGCAAGTGTATTTTAATTTCATGGCTGCAGTCACCGCTTGTAGTGATTTTAGAGTCCAAGAAAATAAAATCTGCCACTGTTTCCACTTTTTCCCCATCTATTTGCCATGAAGTGATGGGACTGGATGCCATGATCTTAGTTTTGTGAATGCTGAGTTTTAAGCCAGCTGTTTCACTCTCCTCTCTCATCCTCAACAAGAGACTCTAGTTCCTCTTCACATTTTGCCTTTAGAGGGGTATTATCTGTATATTTGTCTGGAGAAGGAAATGGCGACCCACTCCAGTATTCTTGCCTGGAGAATCCCATGGACAGAGGAGCCTGGCAGACCATGGTCCATGGGGTCGCAGAGAGTCAGACACAACTGAGGTGACTAAGCACACATCTGCATATTTGAGATTGTTATTTCTTCTGGCAATCTTGGTTCTTGCTTGTGATTCATCCAGCCCAGCATTTTACATGATGTACTCTGCATATAAGTTACATAAGCAGGGTGACAACATACAGCCTTGACATATTTCTTTCAAAATTTTGAAGAAAGTATAAAACCTTTTTCCTTACTCTTTAAATCTTAAAATCTTTTACCTTACTATTAAAGTATCTTTAGACATGTAATTGTTTTTTTTAACCAAAAATCATAGCAATATATTGTGAAGAAACAAAATATATAACAAAAT